CCCATTTTTTTTTTTTTAAAGCAGCTTTAACTGGTCTCTGACTTACCTTGTAAGACTCAACTCAGGCATCTGCCTTCGATGCTGCCTCCACAATACTTCAGGTTTAGCTGAAGACTGTCACGGAGGCTGCTTTTGGTAGCAAGGGTTAGAAATTTAACCTAAACTAGTTGAAACTCAAAGGATAGTTCTAGCTTCCTTAGTTGAGAAGTCAAGGGAGGAGACCAGCCTTAGCTGTAGCTGGAGACAGGGCTCGGGCATGTCCTCAGACCTGGCTTCTCTCTCACCCTCACCATGTCGCCCTCTGCGCTGGCCCCAGTGTCAGGCCTGTGGAAGACGGTGGCTTCGGCCCCCACATCCCTGTACACAACAGGGTGAGTTTTCTCCTCGCTGCCCTTCATTGGCTCTATGGGACACATGCTTACCCTGAGCAGCCTCTGGGGCCAGGGTATGTGAGGCAGTGCTGGATCTGGGCCTGGTCAGATGCTCCTCCTCTGAGACCCAACCAAAGCACATGGGTGCAGAGGAGAGAGGGTGGGTAAATTTTAAAATATAGGGTGAGCTGCTGGAAGAGAGACTTCAAATAAGATTGCCTTAAGCAAGGCAGATGTTTCTTCCTCCTCTGCCTGCAGGTAAGCACCCTGGGAGCCCAGGTCCTTCCTATCCTGTCTTGCTATCCCTGGGTATAGTGCAAGCATGTCAAACTCGCGGCCCGAGGGCCGTATACAGCCCACAATGAATATTTTTGTGGCCCAGCCGATATAACGGTATGTAAGAAACATTTTAATAAAAATTTCGTAACTTAATTTTACAAAATCCTTTTATACATAATTATTAATAATGAACTATAATGTTTGCTAATGATATCACTATAATCATGTTGCATTCATTTCCCTTACTCACCTTACGCGCAGGCGCGCCATTTCTCTCCACTAATACTAGCAGCGAATATTTTAGCAGCCGATTGCCATGTCATTAGTCTTGTGCTGACTTGCTTGGTGTGTACAACAGGAAATATTTCTCTTTCGGAGAACAAGAAAAATAGGTTTATTTGCGTTACGCTTATTAATCTGTGCAGTTATTCAGTGTCTAGTAAGTTAATGTTCAAGAAAAAATATTAATTTTTATTAAAATGTTCTATTATTTTATGTTAATGATGACTTATTTCAGTCCTTTGCATTCAGCATGTCTCTATCGAAACAAACCTACGCATCTATGAAAATGGAAGCTTTTGTTTTTTTGCGGCCACATAAACTTGAACTTTGTTATTTGGCCCGTGTTAGCCTTTGAGTTTGACATGCTTGCTGTAGTGTGTCCACGGGTTGAGATGCTTCCCCATCTCTGCTACCCAGCCGTAGAAATGGGAGGGGATGGGGAGGACTTACCCTTCCTGTTAGAGGCAGCACCTCTCCTGCATCGGTCTCACTGGCCAGTTAGTTAGCCAAACAAAGCTTCCAGGAAGATGAGGAAAAATAGTCTTTTTTTCCTGGATTCCTATGTCCCCAGATGAAAAGCAGAGATTCTTTAAATATAGAAGGAAATCATGACCATTGGGGACAATCAGCAGGCTCAGCCCCAGTCTGTCCCTTTAGCCAATCAAAAGTCTCTGCTCCCTGCCCATTCTTCCAAAGCTTTGAAAGCCCTCTCCCCGTGGGAAGCAACCCCTAATGATAGAAACTGGCTTAGCTCCAGGAACTCATGCCAATGAGGGGAGAGGGGAAGGGCGAGGCCCATTCCCTCCGCAGCTGTGGACCGGCGTGCATGGCTTCTGACATCTCACTGGGCAGACCTGGTCACAGGGCATGCCTTGCTGCACCGCGGCTGGCAGTGTGGTCTGGACTCTGAGTAGGCCTGTCCTCAGGTAGAGGAGTTCTCTTACTATGGAAGGGAGAGCATGGATTGGGGACAATTAGCAGTCTCTGCCTTGGGGTGATCCCCCAAATGAAGTGAGGGTATGGACTGTAGGGAGCTAAAAAGCAACAGATGTCCACTATAGTGCCTCTCCTTGGTGTGCCCAGCCCTTTCTGTCTCCATTAATCACTCTGATCTAAATGTCTGTTTGTCTGTCCCTGCTGTCACTGAATCCCTCATCACACAGGGCTTGAGGTCAAGGCACGTCTGACTCAGCATGTATTTCAAGTGCAGCCTAGGACTGGCACTCATAAGGGACTCAGTAAACTATTTGTGGGTGAAACTGAGACAGTAGTAGGTATTCCTGGATAAACTAATCCCCCACACCCCCCCAGCATCTATTAAACATTAGGGCCTGGGAAGTCAGTGTCTTTTTCACTCAAGGAACAATGGCTAGAGGAGTCTCTCACACACTTGTGGTTTTTTGCTCTAAAAGAGACTATTCAGCTAGTCATAGCTCTCTGATACTTAGGCATTGATGACACACAGACACATTTGAACTTGCAGTGTCTCCTTTTCTGAGACTCTGAGACATGCTCCCCCCAGGGGTCTTCTGGGTTTGGGGCCACCTCATTGTCATTTCACCTGTGGTCTAGCTAGAGTGGCTTGACATCCCTCCACTCTGTGACTCTGGAGGGACTGTCAATCATAGGACAGTGCCCCGCCCTCCCAGGAGGAGCACTGTCAAGCAGCATCAGCAAGATCTGATCTGTGGATCCAGAGCTGTGCGGATGTAGATTTGGGGCAGCTGGCACCCTTGCTTCCCAAGAGGAGAGCCTGTGTAAGGATGAGTCGAATCCAGACGGGATGGGAAAGAAGGGGCGAATGAGGCAGAGCCGTGGCCACATCATGTGAGCCGTTAGCTCTAGCAATGCCCGAAGCTGGAGTTGATGAATTCTCTGATTTTCCTAAACTATACAATATTAGCCCTTTTATTCAGCGTTCAATCTGATATACTATTGTTCAATAGGCAAGTTAGTTAACTCAAAGACAGTTAGGAAGCAATCAGATTCAGAATTTTTCTAAATAGACATGATTTTTCTCTTCTTTTTCAAAAGTTGCCTTTCCCACACTTAACTGACATCAGTTTTTGTAACTCATCTTCCAAAACATTTAACCTCATTTTCACAGGAACAAAACTCTTTTCATAGTCATATTCCGTCCATTTAGGTGCTATTTAATTACACCGCATAGTTACAACATGTACACTTGGAATGAATAACTTGGATACAAACGAACTCAGCTGACTCTTGGTGAGCCAGCTGCTCAGCTGGTGAGAGCCGCAGTGTCCAGCCTGGGAGTGTGTCCTCCTGGCCACCAGCATCCAGAAAGGCTGTGGCCCATGAGTCTTGCTTTCTCTCTTACGAAAGTGAGTCCTAATTAAAACGCGTGCTTCTTTGGTGAAGATTCTTCCTGTGGGCATTACTGCTGGTCACAAGTATTGCCTGGGCCCAGCACCGCTTGGCCAACAGGCTCTTCCACTTTCTGTAATGACTGTTTCAAAACACTTCCACTTTACTCCTCCAACCTTTCTATCCTCCCCTTCCCATCTCAGCATATGAGCTTGCCTTTTATTTCACAGAGAAAACAGAAACCATCAAACTTCAACCTCGAAACCTAGTAAGTTACCTAGGACTGCCCCCATCATTTCTCCTTGCTCAGTGGAGAGGCCACCCTGCTCCTGCCCCACATGCTCTGGGTCCTGCGCATGGGACCAGTGCCAGTGGCGGCGCCCACGCTCCTTCTCCGTGGCCCTCTCCCTGCTGTCAAACAGGCTCAATCTGCTACAATGTGCAGTGGATCTATCTGTGTCTGGCCACCCAGTTTCTTCTAGAGAGAATCCCTTGGGCAGGCATCTCTCTCCATCCAAGGACAGAGCACACCTGGCTGTGGGGCAGCCACGGGAGCGTCTGCTCCCCTGGGACTTTGAATCCTGAGCAGAGAGGTCCGTGAAGGACAAACAACTGAACCCTCCCTCCCATAGTGGCTTCAGGGCGTGGAGGGGTGGCTCCTTCCGTGGGGGAGCTACTGTCTCAAAAAACCTGGCTTTGCTTCAAAGAACCAGGACAAACTCTCCGGGATTAGCTTCCATTCTGAGCTCCTGCAGTTTTCCCTTAAAAACAGCAACGCACTTTCATTGATTTCAGAGAGAAAGAGAGAGGGAGAGATAATTACACCAATGACCACTGAGAATCATTGATGGCTGCCTCCTTCTCGCCCTGCACTGGGGATCGAGCCCGCAACTGGGCATGTGCCCTGACCCAGAATTGAACCGTGAACTCCTGGTTCACAGGTCGATGCTCAGCCACAGCGGTCGGCAGTCTTCCCTTTTTGAGCTTAACTTAACCAGACTTGTTTTCTGTTGCTTGAAATCAAGACTATTAAAAAGTAAACCATAAAACAGAACCAAAATCAAAAAATCTCTCTTGACTTCATATCCCTTCCCAAGTGACAGCTTTCTCTCTTCTCCCCTTTATGGCCCTGCTTGAGCGAGTGTCTGCACCTGCACAGTCTTCGGTTCGCCCCTCGACTCCTCAGTCCACTTCCGTGGCTTCTGCTCCAGCGCCTTGTCGAAGCTGCTTGCTCTCCGAGCCCTGGGTCACGCAATGCCCAGTGTCCCTCTTTCTCTCCCGGCTGCCCCTCCCAGCTGGGAACTGGGACCTCTTCCCTGCAGTCTCCCTGAGGACCTTAATCACTCCCGCCGCTTCAGGGACCCTGTGCCGGGGATGCCCAGGCTCCGAGGACACTCAGTCCTGTATGTTCCACGTGCCCCTCCCCCTGGGTCTCCTCCGCCCCCCGCCCTCCCTCCCCCCGCGCCCGCATGGACTCCTGAGCCCACTGCACCATATTTGCTCTTCTGTCTGGCTTCCCAGTCTCAGGAAATGGCACTTGGCGAGAGCCTCTTCTCTACCAAAGCAACCAACAAACCCACTCCCACACCATGCAGTCCTGCTTGTATCTCCAAAACCCGAGGTAGGAGGAACCTGAGAAATATTTGATCAAATGACTGATAGCAGCAAGAACACTCTACAGAAACTTCCACAAACCCCGTCTTCTGCACGGCCCTGTGAGACCAGTATAATTACCGTCACTCTGCAGATGAGGAAATCGGCACCCAGAGATATGAACAGTATTGCCTGGGTGTGGGACTGAAGAGCAAGTGAAGGTGGGGAGCTGGGATTGCAGTTTACGTCTGACTCCCCATCCTGGCTCTCCCTGGGAAGCCGGGGGAGCTTCCGACAGATGGAAGAAGAGGACCAGGTGAGCAAGAGGCCACGCTGGGGTGACTCAGGGAGCCTGGAGGCAGGCCCAGCCACTGCTCTGCAGGCATCCAGTGTGTACACTGTTGACACCCAGTCCAAGCAGGCTCTGTGAGACACTCGAGGTAAGGGGCTTGGAGGGTTCCCAGGGGCTCAGGTTTGTGGAACCCCAGGTTTCAGTCCCAGATCTGACACCAGCTCTGTGACCCCGTGTAACTCATCCCTTCTTGGTGCTCAGTTGACTTTCCTAGAAAGACTGAGTAAGGTTTCTGAGCGGCGGGAGGACAGGTCTTAATCCTGGGCAGGGGTGGGTGGTGGCCTCAGCGAACAAATCCCACATTTGTCCCCCTTGGACAGGACCCCTGCCAGGCTGTGTGGTGGGGAGGCCAAGGCCTGGAGCCTCCCCTTGGACACCCCTGTTGGCTTCCAGTGCTCAGCCCCCCCGGGGAGCCATCTGCAGGCCCTGGACTAGGCACTAAGACCCCACTGGAAAGGGTCTTCCTGAGCAGACCTCCCCCCCACCCCAGGGAGGCTGGAGTGGACTAGGGTGGGGCTGGCAGAGAAGGTGGGAGCGAGGCTTCCAGGCCTCAGAAGCAGGGCCTCAGGCTGGGGCAGCAGGCGGAGGTGCCTGTGGTTAGAAGCCAGGCTGGGAAGCATGAGGGCGTGATCCACAGGGCCAAAGGCTATGCCTGACATAGAATAGTAGCACCTATTGTCTTCTTGCCTACATGGGGCAAACTGATGAGGGGCAGCTCGGAGCTGCAGACAGGGGTACGAGGCTGGGGCGGGGAGAGGGCTCCACAGGCAGCGAACACACCAAGGCATGGCGGCTGGGTGCCAGGTCAGAGCTGCCCCTGCAGCACAGGCCTCACACCCCTCCCCTGGGCTAGGTGGCAGTCTGGGGGCTCCCGAGGACTGAACGGTGCCGGCTCCCGCCGGGGCTCGCTCTCTGCCCGGCTCACAGGGCCGGGAGCTCCCTCAGACGCCCTGGTGCCGCAGTGCAAGCAGGGCTGCGAGGGGCCAGAGGTGAAGCTGGGGCCGGAGGTCCTCCCAAACCAGTGGGAGTGTGGAGGTGGCTCCTGGGCCACTGGGCCAGAGGGGTGCAGACTCCTCACAAACCGCTGCACAAGGAAATCAGAGGTCCCTGAAGCTGGGGTCAATGGACGAGGACCTACAATGGGGCCCAAATCTCAGACTGGGGCCCGGAGATGGGACAAACCCCTCTTACCGCTTGGCCCTGGGGTGGGTGGTAGGAACCTGTTGAGAGCGGACCGGCGGGGGAGGGGGCCCTGTGGCCGCTGTTGAGCCTGTGCAACCAGGGCCGGGCCAATGACCGTGGGAACCGCGAAGGTCCCAGCTTGGCTGGGCATGGACGGGTTCCGGAGGTGGTGGGGGGAGTGGGGGCGAGGCAAGGCGTTGCGGGCTGCGGCTCACCCCGCACGGGTATGGCGCACGCCGGCGGCTGGGCTCCTGGCGGCGGGCTGGAGGTTGAATGCCGGGAATTGGGTTGGGGCCAAGGGTGGGGATCGAGACGTGGCCGGGGGAAGGGGTGGACAGTGCGGGTTGGCGGGCTGGGGGCGCCACTGGGGGTTTGGAGTCTGGGAGGCGGGGTCGCGGGCTGCGCGGAGGGCCCAGCGCACGAGGCGGGACGTGGAGGGTCCGTGGCGGTGGCGCTCCAGGGACCGAGGCGGCTCGGGACCCGGAGGATGGGGCTGCGGGGTCCAGGGCCTGGCAAGGGGAGTCATGGGGGGGCTCGGCACCCGAGAGCGGACCCCGGAGTTGGGGTTCGGGGGGCAGGTGGGAAGCCCGCGCCTAGCGAAGGGCGGAGCCAAGGTGACGAAGGACCCGGGGAGGCGCCGTGACGCCCGGTCGCCGGAGGGACCGGGACCCCGGCGGGCGCCCAGGAAGGAGGTGGGGCCGCGGGCGGGACTGTGTGCGCCCCGCCCCGCTCCATCCTGGGCCCCGCGCCGAGCACCTGTGGCCGCAGAGAAGCGCCCCCGCCGGCCGCGGGCCGGACGCCGAGGGTGAGGGCGGCTGCGGGCGGGGCTCCTCCCCCGGGACCCACCCTCCCCTCCCCCGCGCTCGGCGGCGCCCGGCGCACCCCCTCCCGCCGCCCTCACTCCCGGCCCATCCCCTCGGCTGTCGTCCTGCCCGTCCTCCGGTTACTCCGCCCAGGACCCGTCCCGGCCTCACCCCTGCTCCGCGCGCTCTGTCTGCTCCGTCCTCCTCCTTTCCCTCGGCCCGCCCCGCCGCACCCCGCCCTCCGCCCCCCGCCCCGCCCCCGCCCCCGCCCCAAACCTCCCTCCGCTCTGGTCCCCCTGCCCTCCGCCCTCCCCCACCCGCGGCCCCATCTTCCTGCCGGCACGGCCTTGCTGCTGCCGGGTCGGCAGCCTAGTTCTGGGCATGTGTGGAGGGCCTGGCCGTGAGTCGGGGCGGCTGGTGCGGGAGGCCGGGGCGGGGCGCCGGCCCTGGGGAGGGTGCGGTGCGGTGTGTTGGGCCTCGGCCCCGCGCCGGCGACCATGCGGGTGGTGTGCAGAATGCGACTGTGTAGACGCTGCTTCCCGCGGCTGGCACAGCAAGAGGGCCTGTGCGCCCACCCCTGGCGTGTCTCTGGGTGGGGCCCGGCCCCTGGGGTGCATGGGTGCCCGCGAGCATGCGGGTGGGGGCACGCCAGCCACCTGGTTTGGGGCGGCTGGGCCTGGAGCGCGCACCTTCTCCAGGTGCCTCTAGGGAAGTGCGGGCTGGCCCTCCTCGGTGGCGGAAGCTCGAGCGGGTGGGTCCTTGGGCCTCTAACCCAGGGTTGCCCGGGAACCCTTTCCTGGCACAGCTTTGCCCCTGGGCAGCTCGTTCATGAAGGCTGCTCTCTGTGATGGACAGGCTTTGTCCCCTCCAGACACTCCCTCTCGGGAGTGATCCTGCGGCAGTGGCCAGCCGGCCGGAGCCTTCCTCAGGCGTGTGCTGCTGGGTGAAGGTTGCCACACCCCATTCTGCAATGAGGGATTTCTGAGGTGGTTGCCATAGCCGGTGCTTGGGGGCTAAGGTCCATGTTTAACAGTTTTTCTTTCTGACCACTTACGTTTGCCTTTCCTGTTTTTGCTGGAAGCAGAAGGGGGGCCTTGTGTGGATGCGCCAAGTGTGGTCTGAGATGGGGCCTGCCTCGGCCATCCCCCTTGGCACACACCAAGAGGCCTGGCTCCTGTGCTGTGGCCACATAGCAAGAGTTGGAATCTCTGACCAAGAGACCCCGCTGTGTCTGTGGCCAGGTCAGCCTGGAGTTTCCGCAGACCCAGACCCGGGAGCTTTTACTGAGTGACACTGGTTGATGCTGCGCGGGAACCGCAGCAACAGGAACTCCTGCACTGGCCTCGAGCATTGGCCACTGGCAACGTTGGCATCAGTTGGAGCAGGAGAGAGAACATCAGAGTGTCATCCACTGAGCACCAGGGGTCTTGGCTGCCTCTATGGTCCTGTCCTTTATCTTGTCCCAAAACATCTTCCCAGGGAGCCGTAGGGTGAAACCAGAGCCTTCTCCGTGGTTTTTAAGGCAGACGGGCATGCCATTCTGGGTGTTTAGAATGCTGACTGCGAACCTGTGCGTATGTCGTACACGAGTGCCTGCCTGTGTGTGCATAGCCTCCCAAGTTAGGTTCAAGTAGACTGGGAAGCAGTGTGGCGATGGAAGCGCTGGGGACCCTGATGCTGGCCGGGTTCTAGGATGGCACGAAGGTGGGAGCGGTTGGGAGTGAGACTCGGTGCCTTAGCGGCTTCCTCAGAGCCCCCCGAGCCAGTCCCCTGGCACCGTGAGCAGAAGCCACTCCTGTTGGAAGGGGGAGGAAGTTATTCACAGTCGTTCCAGACACCACATTTAGTCTCCACAAAACCCTGCAGGGTGGGATTTACTCCTTTACCCTGCTTTTCAGATTGGGGAAACTGAGGCTCAAAGAGGTTAGGCGTCCACCTGAAGGAAGACGAAGAGCCAGGTGGGAAGCAGACGTCTTGCTGCCTGCTCACCCCGGGCTGGCTGCACAGGGTCAGCTCCCATCACTCCCTGCGAGGCCCCTTTCTTTGCGATGGAGGGTGTGGGACACCTCCTTTCCTTGGAGGTGACCTGGTTATTTGCCTCAGAGCCCTTCCTTCTGTTAGAGCTGGGAAGGCCAGGTGGTAGGAGGAATTCACTGTCGGAGTTCAGCTCTGGGTTCTTGGACATTTCTGAGCTGTTCCAGGTCTCAGCTTGTGGAGTGGATGAGGAAAGGAATCAACAGATGCATCACACCCCCACTCCTCTGAGTCTTTGTCATCACTGTTCTCTGGGTCACTGCTAGCCCTGGTCACTGGGTAGCCTCCTGGTGAGGCAGGCACAGGGGGCTCTTGTCACTGATGGCTTCTCATTGTGCCGGGTAGGGTATGATGGCACCCCAGCCTTATTCCTCCCGTTTCCTCAGGGGGCCAGGGCCTGGCTTGGTTCTTTAAGGCCTTGCTCCCTAGGAGGGTCCAGGGAAGTGGAGCTCAGCCAGGGCCTGGGTAGGCTGTTCAGGTGGGGCCTTCTTGGTGTTCTTAGACCTGCAGCTGGGGGGTTGTCTGCCTACCGACCACAGTCTTCCTAGCCAGCAGTGCACTTCCTGTCCTCCCTCTCGGGTGAGTCACTGAACCCTCTGAGCTTTGGCCTTCTTGTCTGTGGAATGGGAATGATGATGTATCTCATGAAGTTGCTCTGACCACTAACAGACAGTGCTGGAAAGGATGTGGTGCATCCTGGCGCCTGGGAGGTGATTTGGTGCTGGGAGATATCATCATCATCATCATCATCATCATCATCATCATCATCACTGTGATTGTTACTGCTTTGTTGCCCTTTTCTGTTTCTATGTCCATCATCACATCCTTGAGGGCAGGGCCTGGGTCATGGCCTCTCTTGGCTACTCATCCTTTTCATGATCCTTCCAGGGACCACACTGGTGTTGGCCCCAAGGAGCAGCCAGGATGGGCCACTGCTGCCCAGGCTAGGGCCGGCCTGGACCTGCTCTGTCTAGTGCAGTCGTCACTGATCACCTGTGGCCCGTGCCTACTGTGTTGGACAGTGCAGGGTAGAATCTTTCGTCGCAGGAAGCTGTGCTGAGCTGGACTCCACAGCCAACCTGGAGCTCTCAGGGCACCGCAGCCTCGAAACATCCTCACCGGTGGCTCGAACAGCCACCAGCCACCTGCTGAGCATGGACAGCAAGAAGTCTGTAATCACACAGACACTGAGTTCCTGCAGGCCTCCCCGCGTTCCCTGCCAGGTGGCCTTGCTCACCTGGCTAGGGTGGTTAGTGTTTTGGCAGTTCTTACCAGCCCAGAGGTGGGAGGGCAGGACTGGGGTTGCCCAAACTGTCCCTGTTGCCGGCTGTCCTTGTCCTGTTTCTCCAGCTCATCTTGCCAGGCAGGGAGTCTCAGAGTGATGTTCCTAATTCACAGCTTTGCAAAGGCTAGGCTGGCCCAGATGCCTGACCTCACTGCTGGGGCCCTGCCTTGCCCATGCCTGCTGCCCCCACCCCATTCCTTACCCACAGCCCCCTTTCCCTCTCCCCCCTGGCATGCCTGGGCCTCCAGGAAGCCCTTTCTGACCCATCACACAAGTTCGCTCTCTTGCTTGGCAAGGCCCTCCCTTGTTTCTGGTGCTCAGCACTTTCCTCCCTGGTTTGCTGTGGTGCTCACTCCTCTTGGCCGGGTATACAGCACACATTCCCTCAGCGTCAGCTGCACGTCAGGTCAGTGCCGCGTGCTGGCCAGACAGGACAGCAGCCCCAGGCTGCTCTCACAGCCTCAGGCTGGTCGGAAGCCCACGCTTGGCCAGACTCTTCCATCCAGGCCAGACCTGGTGCCAGCCCAGCTCAGGGGAGCTTCCCCAGCAGGATGCTGAGGTGAAGGCCAGTGCAGATGGGTCAGTGGGCCAGCCGTCCCGAGGGGTCTGTGCAGCTGGAGGAAGGGCCAGGAACGGCAGGGAGGGAGGGGGCAGGAAGGGTGCAGGCCCCCTTTGCAAGGAGTGTAAACTATGGAGGGTGTGTCTGATGGGTGGTTTGGGACCCATTCCCAGGGCATAGCTGGATCTAAATGAGTCAGAGCCTGCAATGCAATAAGCTCTCAGGAGCTGGCTGAGGAATGAACAAAGCTGAGTGAGGGCTGCGTGTGAGGGCTGGTGTGGGGCCTCTCCTTGCCCCTGGAGCCAGAGTGGTGGTCAGGACACGCTGCCCCTTTACAGCTAAAGACAGTTCCAGGGACGTGGCAGCTCCGCCAGGCTGGGCCGGAGAGCAGGGCCTGCCAAGGGAGAGCCAGGCAGTTCTCACTGTGTCTGCATTCTGCTTATCCATCCCACACACCTCTGGGCCCCACTGTGTCCCAAGGAGTCCCCAGTTCAGAGCCCGATGGGTACTGACAGGCCTGGGAGGAGCCAGGTTGGTATTTGTCAGTCGAGCTTTACTGGTTATGAAAATGGTGCAATGCTAATGTGCTGATTGACTAAGAGCTGTTGTCTCAAAGCCCCACCCAAAGGCCCTGCTTGGCCTCTTCCCTGGCTCCCTCCATCCGCGACCCCGCAGGAGGGCCCGTCCTGGCCTGGTGTGTTTCTGGCTGTTTGCTATTTGTAGTGTCGTTCCTGGACAATGTGTGATGCCCTGGACTTCCAGGGCCTGGTGTCCTGTCACTGCTGTGCTTATTTCTCTGATGCATGACGCGGGTGAGACTCAGCGGCCGGGCCTGGCCCCTGTGAGCCCACAGCGGAGTTTCCAGGAGCCCTGCCACTCACCATCTCCTTCTCTCTCTCCACAGGCAGTCATGAGCACCAGCCACCCTGAGCCCAGTGCCCGGGCACGGAGCTCCCAGCCAAGATCCCTGTCCCGGAGCTCGTCCAGCCTGCTGGGTGATGGCCGGGGACAGAGGCCAGAGCTCCGAAAGAGTGCCAGCAGCACTGTCTGGCAGGCCCAGCGGGGCGCCAGCACCAGTCCCCAGGTCCAGGAGGAAGAGGGGCACCCAGCTGAGAGCACAGAGCAGGCCCAGGGCCCCGGCCCTGGGCCACAGCCTGGTGTCACAGGCCACTGGCGGAGCAGCACTGTGGGCAACGTGTCTACTGTGGATGGTGGTGACCTGTGTCACCTGAGGGTCCCCAGCGCCGCTGCCGTGCAGAGGAGCCACTCAGATCTGGTCCGCCCACAGACCCGGGGCCACAGTGGGGCTCGGAGGGCCAGCCTCAGCTGCTCAGCCCTGGGCAGCTCGCCGGTCCACAGGGCACGGCTGCAGCCTGGCAGCACTTCTGGCCAGGGAGGTCAGGCCCCTGCAGGCCCAGGAAGGGACCTGGCTCCAGAGGATGGGACGTCAAGCTCAGCCTGGACCCTGGGAGAGAGTCAGGTGTGGGTGTCGCCAGTCGACCTGGGAGGCACGCCCACCCACAGCAGCAGCCCCAAGGCCAGGCCCAAAGCCACTGGGCAGTCAGCCGCCACCTCCTGCCGTGCTCTGCCCCCAGCAGCTCTACTCTGTGACATGAGGGAGGAGGGCGCCCGAGGCTCCTGCCATGCTCTGCCTGCCCCGGGGATCCTGGCCTTTCCCAAACTAGTAGCATCAGTGAGTGAGTCTGGGCTGCAGGCTCAGCGTGGCATGAAGTTCCAGTGTGGGTTACCCGGGGGGCATCCTGGGCATTCCCCCTGCTGTGCCCATCCTTGGGGTCCCACTGGCTCAGGTATGGAGCCTGGCGCGAGGACCAAAGATGTGTGGACCATGACCTCAGCCAGTGACTTGGCCCCAGTGCTGGTGTCCCCTCTGTCAGCCCAGGATGCTGGTGTGCAGGTGGCCCCCATGGCAGTGTGCAAGGCTGTGGCCACCAGCCCGCCCCTGGAAGTCCCGGTGGCCCTGCACCCATTCCCAGAGGTAACTCTGGGGTCCAGGCTGGAGGAGGCGGCATCCCCTGTGCGGGATGTGAGGTGGGATGCTGAAGGCATGACGTGGGAGGTGTACGGGGCTGCAGTGGACCCTGAGGTGCTTGGTGTGGCCATTCAGAAGCACCTGGAGATGCAGTTTGAGCAGCTGCAGCTGGCACCTGCCAGTGAGGACAGCCTGTCCTCAGAGGGCCGGAGGGGGCCGCTGCGGGCTGTCATGCAGTCGCTGAGGCGCCCCAGCTGCTGCGGCTGCCCCAGCACAGCCCCAGAGTGAGGAGTTGTGGCCCCAAGGGCTGCCCTGCCCCCTGGACTCAGCCCCCCTACCAGGGACAGTGGGGGCTCCATGCCCTTTGGACCCACTGGCAGCCGTGGATACGTGGATCCAGCAGATGCAGGACTTCAGCCTGGGGACTTGCTAGGGCAGCTGGACTGGTTTTTAAGGGCTTGATTCCCACGGGCCACATCTGCATATTGGGCGCTGAACTTTGGGGCAGTTTCAGCACCGTGTACAAGGGAGGGCCTGATTTTTCTGTAAAAATCATCTCTGTCCAGTCTCTTCAGACTCTGCTGTGACTTCCCCTAGAGTCGTGGTGGCTTTACTTGAAAGCAGAGCTGAGACGAGGAATCCTTGACATGAACGGGGCCCAGGTGATGGGTCAGTTGGGTCTTTAGAGACGGGACCTGACACTGCCAAAGGCTTCCTGTCTGCCACGCCGTTCGGCACCTGGCCTTGCTGAGCCTTCACGCATGGACGAAAGCGCAGACGTGTGGCCGGGCTGTGGCTGACATCCCCGGGTTGGACGACGGAGCAGAGGCTGAGGTTCAAAGCAGGGCTGGCTGAGGCCTGGGGTCTTCCTGCAGCTCGCCAGCCAACCAGCCAGTGAGGCGGTTGTGCACGAGTCCCTCGAGGCCATATTCTATGTCAGGTCTGGGTTCCTTGGGAAATGAGACCGGCTGCACGTGCCCTCGCTGCGCTCACGTGTGGAAGGGGCTCACCTCGGTACCAGGGAGCTGAGCTGTAAGAAAGGCCGCAGGTGTGTCTGAGTGTGGCTCCATCTGTCACTGTATCCGGGGTGGCCTCAGGAGTGGGAAAACAGGTGGCCCCTGTCCCCAAATATGTCACAGTCCTGAACTTGCACCATTATTACCTCATTCCTTTGGTTTAAGGATTTATTTTCAGCTGGTGCAGTTACTCAACGAAGGGAGGGTAGGGATGGTGGGTAGAGGAGCCTGCGGTGGGGTCTCCCACTGGTGGGAAATAGCAGGGGCTGTGAGGCTGTGGGCCTATTTGCCCCGGTCCTGCACACCTGACCTGACATGGGCCAGGGCTCATGGGGGCCAGGGGATCGTGGGAGTGGGGGAGCCCAGGTCACCAGGGCTCGACACAGAGTGACTTGACTGCCCAAGGATCTCTCCAGGCCCACGGAGGATGGAGTGGGCTTACAGTTGAAAATCCAAGCTCCCGAGACAGAACCTGCCAGCCCACCTTTGAGGAGCCAGGTTAGTGTCTGCCGAGGGTCAAGGGCACGGGAGGGTGGAGTCAGGGCCCACATGCAGCCCAGCCATGATGTGGCCCTTTTCTGGGCTGCCTTCTGCACCTGGGAACCCAGGCCCTGACAGCAGGCTTCCCCCTGCCCCCAGGGACTCATGGAGGTGGGAATGATTCAGGCGACAATGGGATCATTTTAGATGCAGGAATGCCATGCTACCACCAAGGAGCGAGGTCAGAATGCCTTCCAAGGCCCCTCATGGGCTTTTCCCAGAACCATGCCATTCTCACTTCTAGCTGAGCTGGTAAAATGCCACCCCTACTTAAAAATGACAGCCAATCAGAATCACTACTGCCAGGGAGGCAGGGCAGAGGGTTGGCCTCGCCTGCCTTTTAAAATGGGGTCAAGCAGGTTTTCCTGTAGTCCTGAGGCGCTGGGCTCTGTCCGCTGCAGCTGGGGCTGTCCTCTGTGTGTGGTGTGGGTAGGCATTTCATGCCCAGCCCTGCTCAGGGGCTCCCGGAGCCCAGTCACTGGTGGGGCCAGACTGGAGAGAGCAAATGGCTGTGGGACCTGAGGGGGATGGTGAGGAATGGGATTGGGGAGGGCACTTCCCCACAGGCCACAGCTGAGCAGGGTCTTCAGGACACAGCTGGTCTGGACATGTGGGCAGAGGGGGTGTACCCGGCAGAGAGCAGCCTACGCGGGGCTGGGAGGTGCCTATGGTCACCCTGCTTGGCTGCTGTGTGCCAATCTGTGCCCCCTCCAGGCTGCACCTGGCTGGCTAGGATGGCAGGCTGGGCCTGACCCCGCTTGGGAAAGGATAGTGAAGCCGCCTCCCACCTCATCTTGACTGAGATACCTCTTTGCAGGTGGCGCCCCGGAGCCCTGCCCTGGTTAGCTTGCTGCCCTGAGACAACAGGATGGGCCCTGGGCCTCACTCGCCAGGCTGCACAGCCTCAGCCCATGGATGGGCCGCAGCTGGATCTGAATTTGCCCTGGAGACACAGACCACCCTGCCTCCCACCTTGTCCCTCGTGGGGCAGTCTGGCAGTTGTTCAGGCTCTCAGGACTGGCCACCAGCGTAGTTTCCAGGTCTCCTCTCAGACCTCAGACTTTCTGGGTTCCCTTCAGGCTCTGCTCTGGGAGGTGGTGGATCTCATTATTTGTACATTTCTTTTGAATTTGAAATAAAGTATTGGAGGTCGGAGCTTTGCCAGGGAAGGGTTGTTGAAGGTCTTGTGTGTGTGTGTGTGTGTGTGTGTGTGTGTGTGTGTGCTTTTTTTTTCTCCTGGTAGATTGTGTCCTTTGGGGCCTTCATCCCAGATGACTAGAGCTCCCAGCCCAGGCAAAACCCCCTCTTGTAAGCCCCTGTCCCTCCTACCTGGCAGCCTTATAGGCCCCCAGTGACTGAAGCCGGGTGTCCTGGCCAGGACTCAGGGAGGCAACTTTTGTCCATGCCCCAGGCTGCCGTCCCCCTAGCTGGGAGTCACTAGGCCCCCTCTGGGGAAGCTATTCTGGCCAGAGTGTGAGATACTGCTGACCTGAGGGCACAGTGCAGGGAGGTGGAAAAGCCAGAATGGCCTGGTCCCACAGTGACATCACCTTCCCTGCCATTGAGTCTATCCCTTGGAAGTGCTGGATTCGTATTCCATGGGCCAACAGACATGCCTCCTCAATGCAGGCCTGACACGTAGGACGTGGGGGTGGGGCACACTATAGCTTAGTGGTGCAAAACCTGAGTTTGAATCCTGGATCTCACCTACAGCCATGCGCTCTTGGGCAAGTTACTAACTTCGCTGATCCTCAACTTCCTCATCTGTAAACGGGTATGATAATGGGGCTCCTTCTCAGGCTGGCTGTGAAGATTAAATGGAATAACCCCCCCACCCCCCCGAAAAGTGTGCTGGTGGCATTGGGGTCCACTTCCATGGCCAAAGGCCCACACCCTGTCTCCTTGACCATTTCCTCATTAGGAGCCTCTTCCAGGTCCTTTGCCCTCTACTCCGCACCCTACTTGGGACGTGCGGGTCCCCGCAAGGCGGTTCTGGTGACCACGGCTTCCTTTCCAGAGCTCTTAGCTGCTTCTGCTTCACCAGCTGTTCAGGAAGCTTGACATCAGTAGCCAGCGAAGATTTACAGACTCTACCGTCTTACCGTTTTGAAGACTGGGGGCCGTCCCACCCCCAGCCCCGGCACCCCTCCTCTTGGTCACACTGGTCACTCGCGTCCCTGGAGGTAACAGTGAAGTGAGGACATGCCGCTGGCCACAGCCTGTCCCAGCGCCTCCTGGGGCAGCTCACCCCTTGGGTGGGAACCTTTGCGAAGCTGCTGGAGGGCCCTGGGAGGTCTTCCCCTCAGAAGAACCTGGGGCCAGTTCGGTTCTGTGATTGCAAAGCGATAATAAGCCAGGCAAGACATCTCAGAAAAGTCTAAGTTTATTTAAGAAAACCGAATCAAACCAAGTGGCATTAGCTTATGGGATTAGGAATGGTCGGGGCAAGGGGCGGGGTTGGGGGGTGTGGGGGGGTGGAGCTGGGGTGGGGGGTTGCCCTCTCTTGCTCCGAGTTGGGTGAACAGAGCCCTTGCTCTGTCTGCAGGGACTCCCCGTGACTCCTGCCTCAATTCTCTGCCTCCAAGTCCCAGATGGCTAGGCAAGGAGGCAGGTCTGAACCCTGAAGCCTGTGCTCCCAAGTGGTGTCCTAAAACCCACTTCCCAGGACCCCCTTTGAAGGAGGGAATGTGGAGGGAGGCGGAGCTTGGGGTGGGCGTGTCCACGTTTGTGTGTGGCTTTTAGCCATGTCCTCACACAGTCTGGCCTCAACTTTTCATTTCCCAACATCTTCTCAGCACCCTATGGACATGGCCGAGGGAGTGCAGTGCCTCAGGGCGTACAGCCAGCGTCAAGTGGAGAGGCTCTGCTCTCCTGTCCCCACTGCCCGTGGTGCCCTTTTCCCATTTCCTCTTTGCCCCTAGAAACCTTCTGTAACCCAAAGGTGCACCCGCCCTCGCCCTGCTCCTTCCCCCTGCCCAGGGTCTGCCTTGCGCATCCTCCTCCAACAGCAGTCTCTCCCGGGCCCTGCACTGCTCCCTGCGCCATCGCTGGGGCTGGCCCTGGGCATGCCTGGTTTTCACGAGCCCTTCCCCTCACCCGTCCTTTCTCTCGTTTGATGGAGATGGATATGTTTGAGCCTTTGAGCATCTCCCTCGAGAAGGAGGCTCCTTGGGACACCCTGGGGTTGTCATGTCCGGTTTCCCTCACTTTTGCCCACCCTGAGCGGAAGGTTGTCAGCAGTACTGTGGTGGTGGTGGTGGTGGTGGTGGGGGGGGGGCGGCATAGAGAGACTCCATCAGGCCGAGGCACTGCATCAGTCCTCAGTGCTGGTGACCCTTACAGAGCCTGGCTGGCACCCAACGGACAAGTGGATGGGTGATGCCTATCTGTTGGCTTTGGGTGGGCCATCTCCTCTCTTGGTTTCAAACTCTCCTTGCTGGGCTTGTGATTGGGTGTGGCACGGCTGGGCACAGCTAGGACTCTGCGTGCTGTCCCCTCTCTGTGCCTCTGTCCTGTGTGGGATGGCTCTGTGACCAAGAGCCAGGGGTGGAGTCAAGGGGGATGAGACTGTTGTCTTTGCAACTGAGAAGGCCTGAGGAAGGCCCAGGTGGGGAGCCTCTGTTGGGGCTGGAATTTCCCCTGGCTCACTGAGCAACCAAGCTTGGGGTGCTAGGTCCCAGCTGGGGAGGATGAATCACCCCGCGCGCGCCTGGCCCACAGGGCTCCTCATCTTTAGCCTTCTGCTTCACCCACCAGGGGTGGGCAAACTTTTTGACTCAAGGGCCACAATGGGTTCTTAAACTGGACCGGAGGGCCGGAACAAAAGCATGGATGGAGTGTTTGTGTGAACTAATATAAATTCAAAGTAAACATCATTACATAAAAGGGTACGGTCTTTTTTTTTTTTTTAGTTTTATTCATTTCAAACCGGCCGAATCGGGCCCGCAGGCCGTAGTTTGCCCACAGCTGTGTCTAGTCACTGCTCATTTTTATCAGTCAAGGGCCTGGCAAGGTGGTGACCACCGGCACCCTTTTTTATGCAAGCTTCATGTCATCTGTAGAGGAAGACTCTCTGGTTTGATTTTCTTTCCCTCGGAACTGGGGGGATTCAGGGAGAGGGGGAGGGGCTTCTTGTGAAGATTCCAGCCCCTGAACTCTGTTTCCCCATGAATCCCCTGTTGCATCCCCTGGGCGTGGCCCGCGTCCTCCTCGGTGGCCACTCCGCTGGGCTGGGGACAGAGATGGGAGCCAGGAAGCAGCCGCGCGTGGGCTCAGCAGGCTGGGCGCAGGGACACTGCCCGAGCCAGGCTGAAGGGCAGGCCAGCCAGGAGGGAAATTGGATCCAGCCTTTATTCGATTTATCCATCTTTATCATTTATTTTTTGTTAATTTTGATTTTAAAATATTGCACATTTATCTTAATACCCAGTCTTCTGCCGGCGCCTTACATTTTGCGCCCAGTCCCTGCCTGGCCGCCTCCTCTCCCGGGGCCTTAGGTCTCCGAGTACCTTCGGCTACGGAATTGGGGCCAGGAGCAGGGGCCTCCTTTTCTCCACCCCCACACCCCGGCTGTGGCGGGTGCTGAGCGGCGCTGGGACCGGGGCTCCTGGGGCTGGAGAGGAGGTGGGTTGCGATGTGGGTTGCGATATGGTTCCCGGCCGCTGGGGGGTTCCTCCAGGGTTCGGCGGTCTGGCCGGGGCAGAGCGCCCGCGGGAGGAGCTCTGGCGCCCCCTGGTGGCCTCGCGACCGCCCTGCAGGGGACCGGGTCCCGGCTGCGAGCTGCACACCGTGCGGGGCCGGGACGGGGAGGGGAGCGTGGCGGGAGGTGTCGCGGTCCCTGCCGGCTGGGACCTGGGCCTTCCCCTCCCCGGCCCCCCCTTCTCGGAGGCTCCCAGCCGGGCCGGCGTGAGGCAGAGCTGCGGGAGGTGGAGGGAGGGGAGAGGGTGCGGTCCAGGCAGGTGACCTCGGGGTCTGGGGAGCCTCTTTCTAGCTCACCTTTGACTCGGGAGCTGAGGGACACACCCGAGCGGCTGGCTGTAGGGGCTTGTCGTCAGCCCCCTCCTAGGTGGGCTTTTGCACCCTTGGGCTCGCCTTTAGGTTTACCCAGAGCCTCGGACCCGCCCCGTGGTCCCACCCAACAGGGTCTCCTTCCTGGGCAGGGGCGAGCAGGCGGCAGCCCGGAGCAGAGCACCAGGGGGGAGGCTGGGCGTGGGCCGAGGAGGGTCTGAGCTGACGTGGCTGCCCCCGGGGACCGAGGCCCGAAGTTCACCGAGGGAGGGGTGTGGGCTGATTGTGAAGGCCCTTCCCTGGCCATTGCTTTCCTGGCATGATCACCCGCTCCCACTGGCCCAAGGCCCGCTGCGGATGTCAGGGGCGATGGCAGCGAGAGGGAGCTTGGGGGGAGCCCGCTCCTGGCGGCCGGACCTGGTAACCGGTGGCAGGGGGTGCGGAGCGCCTCCCGCGGGGCAGAGGCGGGCCTGCGGGAAGCGGGCTTCTCCTCGCGTCCAGGACGCACTCTCCGGCCACTCCGCAGGCCGCGGCGGTGGCATTGCCCTTAGCACATCTTTGGCTGCAAGTAACTGAATTATGACCCAAAAGTTATCTAAAAATTTTGAATGTTTAATTTCTCACTTAATTCTTAATCTCAAAAATTCGGGAAGTCACTGTTCTGGAATAGGCTCAGGGGCTCAGTGACGGCCTTGAGCATTGTCTTTCCATAATCGCGCTCTGCCATCTTCAGGGTGTCCCTGGTCACCAGCGGCACCTCCAGTATCACCTCTTCATAGTCAGGGAGAAACCCACAATCTGTCTCAAGAGGTTATTGGTACACACAGCTAGCAAACTGAAAAGACCAGCTTTTCCTATCTGCCAATGATGGAAGCAATGATAATGTGGGCACAGTAACACACAATGGCAGAGGCAATGAGGGTGTTTACATCACCCTTACTTCTCAGGACAGCCCCTTCACTATGGTAACAGGGATTCAGGGAGGTCAAGCCACTGGCCCTGTTTTACCACCAGAAAATGAAGAAACAGAAATTCAAACTGCAGTCTGTGTGACTTCAGGGCAGGCTTTTCATCTTTTTAAAAAGAAATGAATATGTATTTACCATAAGAATTTCAAACAGTTACAGACATTGGCTTTTGTTTTAAAC